ATGTTCGTTAGTACTTGTCGTAACGTTGTGATTGGTTTATGTGCGACACGTATGTTGTATGGTCGTAAGATACGCGAGATAGTCTCAGACGTACCTTTGATGTAAGGTATTGTTGCTGTTGTCACTGACTTGTTCGTTTCGTTGGGTTCTTTAGGTTTGTAAGTGTTGCGTATTAACCTGGACGATCATCATTTACAAACTCTGAAGATGACTACCGCTAAGGTTGTCGAAACGTCAGTCAACAACAACAAAAACAGTCCTTCTGAGGACTTTATTAACCTCGACGATCATCATTTACAAACATGTAACGATACTCCCGGGTTCAAACCATTTACTTTAGTTATGTTTGTCATTTACTGTGTTTATATAAAAACCTTGACTGATGGTGAAGTCAGCTGACCAGGCGACCTGGCTATGTTTGAACAATCATTGCCAGGTTAAACGGAGCAGTGCTATCCAGGTTGCTAGTCTACCTACCTAGCTATAATCTGGCTGCTTATTAGATATTTCATTGATGTTTAAGCAGGATAAAAAGGAAATGTAATGTTTCTTATAAATTTTCATTTGTGGCACGAACTATGTCAGCTAATCTCCAAAAATCCCGACAAGGTGCTGCAATCAAAAAAGTATTTCATACTGATATACGTAAAATAAACTTTGCATATAATAATCCCCTCAAATATTTAGGTTAAAAGTCTAAAAGTTGCTGATATTATTCGTGGTGGCTTGAGACGATTTACAGATAGTTTGGGTCAACTATGGTGTTCCTTGGCAGATTATTACATCCGTAGGGGTCATTTTGAAAAGGCACGGGATGTTTATGGAGAAGCAATTCAAACTGTTATGACAGTCAGGGACTTTGGACAGGTGAGTCACCATAAAGACAGTTATTAATATCTTTTGGCCGAATGAAATAAGGTTTTCCGTTGACTTTTTTTTGTAGATATTTGATGCGTACGCTCAATTCGAAGAAAGTATGATAAACGCGAAGATGGAATGAACAGATGTGGAAGATATAAATGAAGAAGGTACATACATGGATGTTTGTGTATCTTTAAGAAACACAAAGAGCAGGTATGGATAAAATGTACATGCTTTCATGATTGAAGTAAAATAATGTGGTTTTTGATTTGAATATTTAGAAGAGATTGATCTTGAACTGCGTCTCGCAAGATTCGAGAATTTGATGGATCGTAGACCTTTACTCTTGAGCAGCTATAATGTAGTATTGACAGGTATAATATTGTAATGAAAAGTATAATGTTGTATTAATTGACAGATGTACGTTATATAGTACTGACAGCTATAATATGGTAAAACAAAATAAAACAAATTCCTAAAACAGACATCTCGTTTTCTTGATATTCAAGATGATACAAGTGATACAAGATGAAACGAGATGTCTGTTTTCGGAATTTGTTTTATTTTGTTTTACTTAAAATTGTCTGCTTCTCCTGGTTATTGCTATGATGTGGTATTGACAGTTATACGTAATATAGTACTGACTGCTATAATGTGGTATTGACAGATATTATGTAGTATTGACAGCTATAATATGGTAATAAAAGGTATAATATTTCATTGAAATTCTTCAATGAAATTGTCATCATTACATTTCTGATCACAATATCATATTTTCAAATCACCAGTGTTCTTCGTCAAAATCCTCATAATGTTCACGAATGGCATAAACGGGATTTTTGAAGCTGTTTGAAGGCAAGCCAAAAGATGTCATTAACACGTATACTGAAGCTGTGCAAACCGTCCAGCCGAAGCAAGCCACAGGGAAGCCTCATACACTTTGGGTTGAGTTCGCTAAGTTTTACGAAAAGCATTAACAGATCGCTGAGGCAAGAGTTATAATTGAAAACGCGTCAAAAGTGACGTATCGTCGTGTCGATGATCTTGCAAGTGTTTGGTGTGAATACGCAGAAATGGAGATTCGAAATGAGTGAGTTATTATACGTATAAGCTTTGATTTATTGCTTTTTATGTACTTTCAAAGTCATTTTTCATTTATCTTAGAACTGGTGTACACTTCGAAGTTTCTTTTGTTTTAGTTTCAATTTTTCAAGTCCTAGCGTATAAAATATCTAAAAGTTTTTAATTGCATAGCACAGTTTTAGTTCTAACAAAGCATTTAAAAAAAATTAGCGCAACTCAAGAAATGCATCAAAACGTCAAACTTTTCTGAGAAAAAGTAATAATTTGTAGCTAAAACCTCTTATTACATTATTCATGTTGGACGAATCATGACTTTCTTTATTTCTTACATTTTATTTGTATTATAGAAACTATAAAAAAGCTTTGGATGTAATGAAACAAGCAACTGCAATGCCATCCAGCAGAACTAGCTTTTATGATGAGGTATGTATGGGACATTGTAGGATATCCGGCAATCTGTGGTGATGTATTTTTGTTTTATTAAAGCATGTCAGACCAAGGGATATTTTTAAGGATTTTACACTGCGAGGCCACAAACCTCAAAAGGACCTGTGAAGCTTGAGTCACGTGACAGAGGGTTCGGAAATACCTTTCTACAGTGTAATTTTCAAAACTGCAAGTTTGTAAATGCTACGTATTTTATGTGTTTGTAGAGCAATTTGATAACAGCATTAATCAACTTGTTATGAAATAAGCATTCTTACTTCAAGCGTACTATATATTATGCGCAGTGAAGTATTTGAATTACCAGTATGCGTATATGTTAAAAAATGCCTTGGATCACCCTAGTTACTGCATTTCTTCTTTTGTTTAATTTAGACTGAATCTGTTCAAAAACGTCTCCATAAATCACTGAAGGTTTGGTCAATGTATGCTGATTTGGAGGATAGTTTAGAGACATTTGAGGTAACCAATGGATAGCCTTTATAAAACACAGACATCTAGTTATATGGATAATTTAGGAACATTTGAGGTGACCAATGGATAGTTTTCGCGAAACACAGACATGTATATAGGTACAATTATGGCTTTATTTCTACAGTATCATGGGTTAACCTATGCTGCTTTTAATTGACATCCCCTGGGTGATTTAGTTAAAATTAACTGGACTGAGTCTTATTTATGTTAATTTAATTTGTGTTAAAGGCGAAGCAACTGATGAGGACAATTTAGAAGCGTTGGCAAGAATAGCGAATCCTGAAGAGATCTCAATTGATGAAGACGATGAAGACGAAGATGCAAAGATTGAAGGTGAATTTGTGACAGCTCACGCACTTTTATGTTACTATGATCAGATCGACATAACAGAAAGTGCGGAAATATGAAACTTGACATTAGAAGAAATTTTAAAAGTGAATTTTTGTACATTCATCTCTTTTGTAGAAGTTCAACTTGAACAACAAATGGTGCCTTCAAAGGTGTAAGTATGACTTTGTATATTCAACCTCATGGCTATTTTCATAAATCACTATAAATTATTGTGCAAATCATGATCTTTAATCTTCTTCATGTTATCGTGCTATTTCAGGTTTTTGCAAGCCTTATAAAAGACGACTAGATTTCATTGATGGATAATAAGTTGTACGGTCATGGAACATTCTTGCTTTGGTTGCGTCTTTGGAGCTTAACTTCATCGTTATTTGAAAAGTTTGTTTTTCGTCATGTATCACTTTTTGAAGGAGGAAACTTCACCACTGTCAAGACATTCAAATGGGTCGGAATGCTTTTGCATGATTTTGCATTTACATAAACCCTCGACATTAGCTTCCGTATTGGTGGGTATCCAATAACAGATAAGGTACTTTTGGACCAATCAAGGTATAGTGCCAGTCTACTAAATTTTTCTCGCGCCAAGCAATAGATATGTAGTGACGCAGAATATGAAATTATATTATTCTGTATTACCATTCGAGTTACAAGGTGATGAGACCAATTTATTTAAAAATGAACAGCTTTAGAGTTTATTACAATAAAAGCACTTCATTTGAATCAATTCTGTTTACAAATTTTGCAAGATTAAATCCCAAAAATGTGATAACAAAAGTAAGATGTAATGAATACATTTGATTCCAAACGGTAGTTTCAAACTTCTTGTATGTTGTGATGTCGTTAATTCCACATAACTTGTGTGAACAAAGTTACAGAATCTTCCTTCGTTTTGTTAATTTCACCCAAGTTTAACACTAGCCACATTAAATGTTTTGTAGTCATCACATTCTCTTTCATATTTTAGACTGATTAATTGACATATTAGCAAAGCGAGTGTTCTTATAACTCTTAGCACATAATAATTATAATATAGTGCAGGTTTAACTAACATAATAAATTTTAGCTGAATTAGGATATGTGATTTTATCTTAGCTTACTTTTCAGTAACATAAGTTGTGTTATTTTATCTTATCAACTTAACAAATATGAATGAATGAATGAATGAGTCACTTCTCCTTTGAAATAAGATTTCTGCATTACACACTCAACAGAATCATTGTAAAACGTTTGCTATAAATGGCAATCGTTACAAGTGACATGGTTTTAGTAATCACATAGACACTAGCACAACTTTTATCATATTTTTGCTTAAAAATACGATTGGGGGGGGCACGCTTAGTTCGCTTTTTAGAATTTAAAGTACGAGGAAAAAGTTATTTTTACTCCTAAAGCCCGCCGCACAATGGTGAACTTGCCGCGCCTACTTGTTATTTGTGACAAGTGTGATCGACAAAAGTTCCAAGTGTGCGCGGAAGTTTTGAACAACATTTGTCATTCGTGACAGATGAGTCCAATATCAAACGCGTTTGATATTTTTTGTCACGAGTGACAAAAAGTCCTAGTGTGCGGAGAGCAAGCAGCAAGTGCGCTGTAAATGACAAAAATGCGCACGCGCGAGATTAAGAAAACAAAATAGCAGACCAAACCTCGGAAAATGTGGCGGACGTTATATTAGAGGACCAGCTTGTTGATATGTGGTCTGAATATCCATGTCTTTAGGATGTAAGATCGTCGGAATTTAAAAATCGAGACGCAAGAGATAAGGCTCTGCAAGAGATTGCAGAAAATCTTGGGCAAACAGGTTGTTATTTGTTAATAATAAATATCGACTTTATAAGTGTTTGTTATATAGTCATTCTCCAATCTTTTAGTTCTTTTATTCAGTTCACGCTGTTGAGCAGAGATTTATTTGCTGGAAAATATAATCAATAGTCGCAATGGAACTTACACGTCAATTTCATACTTAGTTGATAGGGTCAAGGCTTAAATAAAAGCATTGAGAAATGCTTACAGCTTACACACGAGTCAAAAAACCTCCTCCAAGTGGTAGCGCTCGCAAAAATCTTACGAAGCGAGGTAGCTGGTTGCTGGATAAACTGAAGTTCCTCTCTCCTTTCGTGGCAACAAGAGTTCCCATTTCAAATATTGTTACTGTAAGTGAAATTCTTGTTTTATTTTGATTTTCCAAACAATTAATATTTAGCACAACATATATATATATATATATATAATTAAGAGTAAGTGCTACTGCTAGATAATGTTGTCCTGCCATGATACAGCTCCACAAGTGTTAAAATATGTCGTCAGAATTTCACGTTGCATTTTGGCACTATTAGAAGTATTTCTGTCTGTGTTGAATGGATTCAAATTTGTCATGCATGAATTTCAATTGGTAATGGTAGACCAAGAGTATTTTCAACAACAGCTTTTCGCAAGCTAGACTCGTTATACATGCCAGCATCTCCTGCACGGCCTGCTGCTCCAACACTAACATAGACAAACTTGTAGTTTGCATCTACTAGAGCTAAAAGCAAAACACTGAAAAAATGCTTGTAGTTTAAAAATTCTGATCCACTACTATTTGGTTGTTGTATGGCTATGTGTTTCACATCTAGAGCTCCAATGCAGCCAGGATAGTTCCATTTTTTTTCAAATTCGTCTGCAACAGCCTTCCATTCTTCTGCACAAGATGGAGTCTGTAATTGAAGAAAATAAAAGCAATTACATCATAAATTTGCTTATGTTAAACTAATGGATGTTCATTTATTAAATGCTTCTAGGACGATTCCAATTCACCATCATGCATAACAATTGCTGATGAAGTTGATGGTCAAAACGATGATGATGACGACAGTTTTAATGATCCAGCAAAACCAAGCAACAGTTTTAAGAATGAGGTTGACTGTCCCATTTCTAGTACTAAACAGCCAACACGTATAAAGCCAAATAGAAAAAGGCAGGCAGATGAAGAATACGATCTCATGACTTGTTTGGCAAAAAACATCTCAAGAAAAAGAAGCAGAGAAATGGCTCACAAGATATGTAATAACCCGGATGAAGCATTTGGTCATTATATCATGCAGTCGTTGTCTGAACTTCCCCCCACTGTAAGGCACTTGGCACAATACAAAATTAATGAAATACTGTTCCAGGCTCAATCAGGGGAACTTACACATCAAAGCACAAGAGTGCCAGTAGCTATGCACCAACATATGTTTCAAACACCTTATGCACAAAACAACATGCACCCCATCAGCAATCATATGACAAATAGTTATCGATACAACACATCTTCCCCAATAGATGGTGGATTGAGCCGTCCTGTTGTTAATATATGGTCTTCACCAATTTCTAGAGAGCTTAATTCAGGTCAAGACACTTCTGCCTATGACAACATGAGCTCTTAATGGATGTAAACATTTATTGTTAATAATACTACCGATATTTGTTATGAATGTTTAATAACTTGCCTCCAAACATGTTTCCTTTAACGAGATATACAAAGCATGGCATGTTTCCTCAACAATATTCGAAATTGTACGCTCGCCAATTCTAAACTGGAATGACAGACTACAAAATGTTTCACCTAAAATGGGAAAATAATAAAAACAGTAAGAGAACTGCTTTCTTTGACCAAGTGTTCAATCACTATACGTAATTCTACGTACCTGTTGCAAGAAATCGCAGGGTTACTCCCAGTCTTTCGCGAGGTTTTAACGCTGTCCTCGTTTACGTGCCTTGTTTCACAATGTATGGAAAAACAATCTTCAAAATATCTTCAAATGATTGCCTGTCCAATCTATGATACTGACGGAACTGTTCAGGATCTTCTACTGCTAGCTCTCAATAAATTATCACAGACACCTTGTGTTTTTTCTTCTTAAGAGCAACTGTTTCGTCCATATTTTACGATTTGCTGCCCTTAACCTTCTACGACGTCTTCGTAGCAATAAAAGTAGTAGCAGCGCTTCTTCGTCCTCTGAGAAATCGTCGTCGTCCAACAATGAATTTAATGCATTCAACAAATCTGCCATTTTGTTTTCTTAATCTCGCGCGTGCGCATTTTTGTCATTTACAGCGCACTTGCTGCTTGCTCTCCGCACACTAGGACTTTTTGTCACTCGTGACAAAAAATATCAAACGCGTTTGATATTTGACTCATCTGTCACGAATGACAAATGTTGTTCAAAACTTCCGCGCACACTAGGAACTTTTGTTTATCGCACTTGTCACGAATAACAAGTACGTGCGGCAAGTTCACCATTGTGCGGCGGGCTTAAAGGCTGAAACACACTAGGCAGTCGCTTTAGTCGCGCGTCTAAAACTTCCGCTTTGCGTGGTTACTAGCTAGTAGCGTAAGCGTCATCTTGTCGTTTTGAAAGTTCAACTTGTTGAACTTTTGACATTGGTCGCTGTAGTCACTTTACACTGATTGGCGAATAGATACACTTTAACTTCCTAAATGCATATCATATTCCCTGTCATAAGCATCATACGGAATTTATAGATTATACCTTGGAAAACTGGTGCAATATCTAATGAATTCACAATGGAATCTTTCAGTTTTTACATGATTTATCAAATAGGAACAATAGGAGCTACAAACTAGAACCCTAATACACAACCTAAATGCCTAGAATAAGATTATACACGATATACGCGTAATGGGCTATGATCATATTGACGTGTTTAAACCGGCTTGTTCTCTTTTCTCCACATGGTAGTTTGTACCGAGTAAATATTCATATATTAGTAGCTATAATAAAGGCCGAAATAAAAAGTTTAAGTGATGTCTGTGTCTGTAACCAAACAGAAATCTCCGCCATGTTCAATAGACGCCACGGTAAAAGTCGCGATGGTCGCTGCATGTGTGTATGTGTGTTTCTGGCGTTCAAGCGACTGACGCGTGCACATCAATTCGCTTTGGACGCGCAACTGAAGCGACTGTCTAGTGTGTTTCAGCCCTAAGAGTTAATTGTGTGTAATTACGTGGGAGTTAAAGACGACACGTGTGAATCTACTATCGTAGCAACAGACGCAAAGCGGAAGACGATTCATATTAAAATCGGCTTTTACAAACTGCGGTGAATGAATCAGACCTAAAAATATGTAAACATTGAATTACATTGTTGACTTACACAAAAACTATTTGAAGTTGAGAGTGCGTTAGATATCGTTGGAAAAATGGTGAAAGTGGATTAATTGTTATAGAAATATTCGTGTTAAAACAAGATACATAGTTTTTGTGACAACAGTTTTTGCCATTGGTGATGCTTTATGACTGAATGCAATAGTACACGTTCACAAGTATTTGTAATTGTAGTGAACCCTTCTGCACTTTCGTCGCCAGTTGAATGACAAAATTAAGGTGTGAAAAGACATTTAGGTGTTGAAAGGTTTGCGTGGACTTGTTGTATGATTTAATGATTCTAGAAAGTGTCTGCGAGTTGCTGTTGTTTAATGTAAACATGGCGATAGTATGGATATAGTTGTGGGTTTCATGTTTTCTTCTGCAATATTCACTGATTGTGCTTTAGTTTTAATTGATATGTAGAGCGAAAATTGAGTTTTCTTAAAACTAAATATTAATTTTGAGAAATAGAATAGAAACCATCGTGTTAGGTTTCCTTGACAGACCAGGAATTAAAATACAACTACTGAGAATTGTTTACTGATTTCGCTACTTAAAATTATTTGAGTGAGTTTGAAGACAATCGCCAATATTAAATGTATTTAAAAATACAGTGCATGACGAAAGAAAAAACGACTATTCCCGACCATGTCTCATCTTGCTTTCCTCTTTTTATTAAAATTTTCATTTTTACAATAAAGAGGTTATTTAGCAGTGAAATTCCCACAGGAGCTAATGCACATTAAATGAAATATATGATTCTTATTTTGCAACTAATATTTTGGGATTTACTAAACAATAGAATTTACCCACGCCAGCATTGATAGAATATTCTTTTGTATCAGCCCGCCAGTATGTCTGACGTGAATAACATCAATTCGTTTATCAGCCTTGTATTTGCTGGTTTTGTCTCCATTTGATATTGAAAACATGTCATTCGATAATTACAAGCCTGATTTTTTCAAACTGAAAGAATACCGTTATATAGACATAGTAGTTCACACACAATAGCGTGTTGAAGTTCGATTATCTATTTGTAATAACTTTATACTTCATTTACAAATTTGCATTTTCAATAATTGCTGGCATGGTGCTATATACCTTTAAGCGAATACATACCTTTAGGCTAAAGAAAATGCTTTGAGTGGATAACTTTTATGCCTGAATTTCAAAAATAAAGATATATGTGTATGATTGATGCAGAAATAATGAAAGAACGATTTTGGTAAAGCAGGAAAAAAATACAATGATAGAGTTGCAATGACCTAGATTATCACATGTAACATGTATTGATGGCGTTAGTATGTGGGTCTTGAATTGTATCATTTATTCGTGATCCAGTACTTGAATTTGTCATGAGTTTCTATGGTGGTTAATCAATGTAAATGGCTTTACTGACCATTTTATGTAGTTAAAAATCGTAATATGGAGTTGGAGTTGCTTGCGTACAAAAATGACAAAGCTAAAGAGCTTGGAACGCACAGGGTTAAAATATGGCAGATGTTCTTCAATTATAGTTTACGAAATTTGACCTAATTAAACCCCTATTTTGGATATCTTCCTGTAGACGTACGTGTACAACAAATGAAATATTGCATACGAAAGTTATAAGTAGAAACAAAAAGTTTTTAACAGGAGCAAAAGGATATTATTGTTTTGGAAACGTGACAGAATTGTCGTCAATGAAATGTGTATTGAGCGGTAGAGATTGGGTTTTTTCGTTTTATGTGTTTTCCGACATCTTTTGGTTTCACCTGAATTTAACTCCATTGACAGTCTATACATGGTATTTTTGTAAAAGTCTTTGAGTGCGCCGTGAAGGCTGCAGAAAATAGCAACGAAAAGATTTATACGTCGAAGCCAATTGTGTCAAAGTGAAACCAGGAGAGATTCAGAAAGTATATGGAAAGTTAGACGTTTTCTTTGTTAGTACATGGTAAAAACATTTCCCTGAGATGTTTAATGAGTATAATGTCGCAGTTTTGCATAAAAAAGACAAAATTGCCAGATGCTTAATCGGTACAGCACGTCATGTCTGCAGATAAAACAGACGATAACGACTAACAATGTTTATTGACTTAATTTAAAATAATTAACTTGTGATAATGAAAACGTTACCGGTATTAAAAGCAACAAGCTGAAGGCAACTGTAAATAGAATAACGAATAAAGATGTATGTATGCATGATTTATCTAGAAATGTTTTCAAGCTGTGGCTTTTGTTGCCGCATAAATGCTTCACGTTTCTTTCAAAATACATATGTAATATTCTTTCGTGGCAGCTCTCTATAAAAAGAGGCCAAAAGCTGTCTTCAATCATCATTCATCATACTGCTGTTGGAACCAGAAGAAAACAAGAAAAAAGTTAATCATGAAAATAACCTATCTTGTCATCGCTCTTGGATTGCTTTGCACTTTTGCTTACGCTCAAGCGAAACTTGAAGATGGGGTTATGAAAGGTAATAATGCAAAGCTCATATATTAAATACTTTATCTATCATCAACCATTTCTCTTTGACCAGCTTTTGTACATGAATAAAGAATGATGGTTTCTTCATTTAGAATCCGATGAAAAAACTGCCCCAGTGGAAACTGTCGAGGAAGAATTAGTAGAAAATGATGATGAAAATCCAGAAGAAGAAAATGATGATGAAAATCCAGAAGAAGAAAATGATGATGAAAATCTAGAAGAAGAAAGTGATGATGAAACTGACCCCGAACATGACTTAGAACAAAGTGATGATCGTGAACTCACAGAGAACAAGTAAGTTAACTTTATCTACTACGTTTACGTTCCTGACATCGAAATGCTTCATTTTGTATGCTATAGTTGGCCTTGACATTCAGTCTCTGCCATGAAAGTTGATGAACGCGAACAGGGCCGTCCTTATACCGTTTATCAGGGGGGAGATGTAATCCTTTCAAACAACTGGCCATCGAACCAGTACCGAATACACTATAGAACAAAACCTCGACAATTTTCAAGGTCTACTAAATGACGCCCCTCCGCTGTTTACTGTAATGCTGTTCGAACTGTTCATTTCTTGCTGTTATGTTATTCTCGATTCATATGAAAATGTTAGTCTCTTACTTCTTATTTACGCTTTATCCAAATCAACCGTAATGTTGATGTTTAGTCGTCAAAGATATTTTTCTGCCGACTAATATAATACTTTTACCGACTGTATTTAAAAATAAAGTTTTTGTGGTGTGTGACCCTTTCCTTTCACGTACATTGTGTTTTGTAGTAATGATATGAAAGCTGATCCAAGTGTAGAAAAACGGTCGCCTTTCTATCGTCGTCGTCGTATTTGGCGCTCCCGTCGTTCTATTTGGCGTCGCCGTCGTAGTTGGCGTCGTCGTCGTAGTTGGGGCTAATATGGCAAAAACCCGTAAGGATCCTGTGGAATGTTTAGCGATTAATAAGAAACATTCATTTGATTCTAGACGTACTTTAAATTGGCATTGTTGTATGATTTGCCTGTAGAAAATAGATGTTTGCATTGATCATTGACTTTGTGTGTCGTCATCGTCTTTTTTTATTTATTTCAATAATAAGACGTTTGGTTGTTTCTCAACAAACCTATAGAATTACAATGTCTTTGTGGTTCTATGATATAAATAAAAAAGTTCACTCACATATCATATCATCTGTGTAGAAATAAGACGAGTGAGAGTGAGATTATCGTCAACATGTTTGTATAAAGCATTTTTTTATCACTACTATCAATGATGTAATCCATTGCTCATTCAGAAAATTTCTTAAAAAAGCTACACTGTAGTTGGCAAAAGCGTTCGGCGTTTTCTTTGCCAGTTAAGGATTTGTTTTTACTATATGATATGTCGTTGGGTGTTTCCATGTAGAAGGCTTTGGCAAAATTAAATCAAAGCAATAAATAAAAAAGATATATAGTGCGTTCGTAGGAAGATATTTAAAGACTTTACCACGCTTTATACCACGCTAGATACTTTACAAAGATATTAAGTGCCTTTACACAAATCTGTAAATTTTCATCACATCCGTAAATTTTTCATTTGATATTTTATATTCACTCGCGGAGAGAATATTTGCACAAAAGCGAACAAGAATCATAAAGCTTGTCTCTTAGATTTTACTACTTATCAATAAATTGATAAAATACAATTTATCTTATCTAATGGCGATTAAAACCTGCTTATAATTGAGTTTCTAGAAATTTTCTATGTTTGTGAGTTAATCAATAAGTTGTATTCATTGAGTTCTATAAGACCTGGAGGGAACATGTCAACCAAATTACTATAAATTATTAGCGCGCGGCCCGTGATCAAAAACATGGCGGATTTTGGTTGTCATCATAGATATAGTAGGACTAGATCATTGAGCTCTATAAGACCTTTGTCTTTTGGTAAATATATCAGTGAATGACTTAAAAATCAAGTTTATCTAAAATAGTATTTTGTACAAAGTAACTATACATAATTGGAAAAGTCTCATGTTGAAGACAGATGTCGCTTCTTTTACTAGATTGCTACTCTTATTCTTTTAAATGATATCGTAATTCTTCAAAAGACATAAAAAGTTCTTTGCCATCAATTTTTGCTTCTTCCACATTCAACTTCATTGCAACCAATGCATCTTATGTGAATTTTTAATCACCTGGAATTGAAAAACGTATGGATTTTGTCAGATGATGCAGTACTGTATTTAATGTTTCATGCATGTCATGATAAGCTTTTCTTGAGCAAATATTTCAAGGTAGGAGCAAAATTTGGCACATTATTGAACAAAGTAGTTTTTATCTTGATTTTGATGTACTAACCTGTTTACTACACTGTGTAACAAACAATTCATTTACAGAAACACCAGATGGCATTTATAAAACTTTTAGCATAAAGCAAACCTTTACACACCATCATCATGATTGTCCATAATCTGTCAAATTGTCCAGGCTAGCCGTTTAATACAGGTATTTTTTATTGTATGACATGTACCAAAGAGCTCATTAATTAATCCTGCACTGCATTTGATTTCAATACAGCTCTGTCCTTAATATTTGCTTCATATTTTCAGAAAAATATCATGAAAAAATCCTCCATTTCAACTCAGTTGAAACAAGGAGTTTTAAGACGTGCATATCTCGATAAGAACTGGTTGCTTTGCCTCGTCTAGCAAGCGATTAAGTAAAGAACAAATAAGACCGGATAAACATAACTTAAATTATAACTTAGGAGTAAAAACATTCACAAAATATATGCCATCACACTTCAAGTATTGACTTAAAACAAAACACTGAACACTTTAAATAGTAAACAATCTTACATTGCTTACCGGTGTCATGAAATGTTTCCTTTTCTGGCATTACTTCAGCATCCGTATACCAAACAAGTTTGCAGCATGTTTTAAAGATAAAATTTCTAAAGTTTTTGTGCTTGGCATTGATATTTTATATAATCGCAATTGTGGTTGTCAAATCCGGGTGGGCGAAAAAAATTTCATTTTATGAGCCCGCGTCTTTCCGCTGACTTTGACAACCAAAATCCGCCATGTTTTTGACCACGCGGCCGCGCGCTAATAATTTATAGCAATTTGGTTGACGTTTCCCCTCCAGGTCTTATAGAACTCATTGGACTAGATCATTGAGCTCTATAAGACCTGGAGGGGAAACGTCATCAAAATTACTATAAATTATAAGCGCGCGGCCGCGTGGTCAAAAACATGGCGGTAATGGCGGATTTTGGTTGTCAAAACTTCCACTTTAAAAATTTTTTTCAATATTCACTCCCTCCTGATTTATATGTTTTTACGTAAACATGGCGTTGAAGTATCACGGCACATGTAGATTGATATTACGAATAAAATTCAAGGTAAGAAACTTTGAATATTTTTGATAGAAATCAGTAAAGTTGTTTTAAATTTTGAGATGTAATCTTGTCGGTTATAAAGGTATAGTATATCGCCAATGTTATTGCAATTGTAATCACTGTTGTAATCGCAATAAAGTGGTTGTCAAAATCCGGGTGGGCGACAAAAATTTCATTGTATGAGCCCGCGTCTCTCCGCTGACTTTGACAACCAAAATCCGCCATGTTTTTGACCACGAGGCCCAGGCCCCTTTGCCCCTCCAGGTCTTATAGAGCTCAATGGACTAGATTGCTAACGAGTGTGACGTCATATAAGACTTATTAAGACGGCAGCGTGACATTCATGATAAATCCAAGATGGCGCGGGAACCTGGCAAAAAACTTAGGGCTACTATTAGGCAATTGTTGTTTTTTGCAGTTTACTTCGTTTCAGTGTTTTCAAACTCCTCCAATCAAGTTTTATTGGAAACAAAGTGTTATTAATAATGTTTTGAAGCCATATTGGACAATTATTATTGGAATACGTGCGAAAATATCGCTTGCGAAGTGTTGTGTAAATTGGTCGTTTGGTTGTCTCGAGGCGTTTGTCTACCAAAATAAATGGATTTCGTCTGCTTTAGCTCCCATACTGGTTCTTCCACGTTGAAATACATCATATTGAATACATACAAAAAGATGGGAAAATTAATCTTCATATTTTTTACATAAATTTCACTTCAAGATGCGTTCTTTCAATCTTCAAATATGTGTTGACACTTAACAGACAGAGTCTTAATCGTTTCCAAAAAGGATGAGTTTTGTCAGCTTTTGCCGCTTAGATGGAGCCCTTTTACGAACGATTCTCTCGGAGTACACTTTGGAAAACTGGTGTGCAAATATTTTACTGTACATGTATGCTATTTTTCTGATGAGGATGGTGATATGGTCATCGCAAAAGCTCTCATCTAGTGCATGAGTTTCCTTAGAATGCTGCAATAGTGATTGAAATACATTTGGCTTAGTTTCTTGCAGGACATCTCGTTGCATAACTTGGATTGTTTTTTCTGACAACTGACTCCACTTGTTGAGCATTTTGCGAAGGGCTTTATCTGCTGCTTTTACTACTTTTACCAATGAGGAGGATGGACTTGTAAGCTTGCCATAGGTCTTGAAAGATGTTAAGCTTGACTGTAATGAACCTTCATGACAGTATGAGTGGTCAGGTATGAGAGGTTGGTCATCATTCTCTATGGTTAAGGCAGTTGCACATTCAGCACACTTATGCAACTTGTAATTTTCTTGGCTATGTGTCCACTGATATAGGTCAGTACATCATCATGCCAGAGTGGAACTGTTTAATAAGGCTGCAACTCTCCTATCAACATTTTGTGTCTCTTCAGCTAGCTTGCTTTCACTTACAACAGAGCAGTTGGCAGTTGCTGGAGCTGTCACTTCATTCTTTTGTATCAGTGCTCGGAGTGCCCACTTAAACTGTAGAGCATTTGGATTGTTATTCCATCCCATATGACTTCTTATGGGATGGAATAACAATCTTGTGGTTTATGAGCATGACTCAACAAACAAAGAAACTACTTTTTGACAATTTCAATTTAAGACAACACTGATGCTTAGTGAGACC